ATGCGAGACAAAATACTGAAACAGTAAAACTTTGATTATCAATCTTTTTTGCATTAAAAGATAAATTACACTATGGCATTGCCAATTGTCAAAATAAAATATTGGCAATACTCAGAACATTTTGTAGGTGAGCTGAGGTAAAAATATTGACGTCGCACTTATTTTTTAATTTGTAAATTTAGCTGAAACATCTACTGTTTACATTTACCCCTTGTTTACAATTACCCCAAATGACCCTTATTGATTATTAATTAATAATAATAAATTCATTAAATTTTTAATTAATAGAAAATTATAAATAAACTAAAACTGAATTTCAAAAAATTAATTTTTAACAAATTTTATTATTTTTATATTTATTAATTAATTTTATTAATTAATATTATTAATTAATTTTATTAATTAATATTATTAATTTATTTTATTAATTAATATTGTTAATTAATTTTTTTAATTAATCTATTTTATTAATAATTATTATCGACACGACAAACTTAGAACTATAATTTCTAGGAGTACTTTAAAGTAACATTAAAAAAACTAGACAGAAGTTATGTCTAGTCAATATCAAATTCAACTTGAATCTTTGACGAAGAGCGTTGGTCAGTAACTTCACAGTTATTTACCAGTCCGCCTAGAATCAGCGTCCGTGACAAAAACTGTCCAGTAACTTAAACAATCAAGTGGCTCCATGACAAATTTCTACTAGGGACAGAGATACTTAAACTATTTTATATTAAATTATTAAATTAAATATTATTATTATGTTTTATTTAATTAAAATTTTTTTTAAGCCGAATTTTATGAAACTTTTTATATAGTGGTTTTTGGGGACGCTGAATTCAAATCTGACATCAAAATTTTATTATTATTGTTATTATTATTATTATTGTTACACGAAAAAAAAAGTTCACGAATCTCTCGTGAACTAGTATATCACTTTTGGATGGGACACAAAATTCTTGAAAATCAACAAACACAGTTCGTCAAAATTTCATCAACTCCTTCACTAGAAACATAGTAAGGTTTCCAAACTTTTCGTCAAAGTTAACGAAAAATTCGTGAACTTTTAAAAAATGCTAAAAACAAGAAAAAATAATTTCCAGACACTACTTTTTTATAGTATTTCACTTTATTTGATAACTTGACGCCTATTACGCACCCAACTACACAGAATACACAATTTTATCGCCATTAAAATTCGTAATTCGCTTCACGGGATTCGAACCTAGTACCTATACCCTATAACATAATATTTCTAACAACTAACCGCCACGGCTAAATCTAGATACACTGTCCTTCGACAAACGAAACGATTAGCTTTGTCTGCTGTAAAACTCAGGACCGTGCAAAGTAGAAAAAGTCCCTTATCGTAACTTTTAATTCATTTTATGAATTATTTGTTTCACAAAGGAAATTAGCAAACAAAAATATTCACTAAGTAATAAATGTTAGAGCCGAATTTGAAAAATTGAATTAATTAATTTAATATTATCAATTTTAAAAAAAACTTTAACTTAACGTGTCCTTCGGACAAATAATTTGTAAAGGGTAATGGATTCTTCCTTCTTCTCGGTTATTAGTTCAACCAAGGGGTGAGAATCCTATCCCTTGAATTTGGAGAAGATAGGTTAATTTGGAATTAAAAAAACAGAATTAAGTTTAAGAACAATGATAAGATATATTTTACTCAAAAATCTCTATTACAGATATGCTAACTGTTGAGTGAGTCGTAGGAGTAGATGTGTGTATGTGTGTGAATGAGTTCAAGAGAATGTGTTACTAAATGAGATACGTTCTACTCACTACTTGGAATCTCCACCTTGAAATGTTAATCCAAATTGATGAATGTCTCTTCTCTCTGTTTTTCCTGGTATAAACTTCCGAAAATTAATGAAATATCAAATCTAGGGTCACTAGATTGATATTTCTTAGTTCACCTTTTTATTCCTTTGGAAAGAGCACAAAATTTAAAGACCGAACCTCGTAAGGAAAGGTTGTCTCAATGAATATATATATATATATATATATATATATATGTGTATATTAGAATTAATAAGATTTTATTATTTATCAGATTTAAATTGAATTTAACTTCTTGCTAACTCTATGAATTTTGTCTTACTTAAATTTCTTTTATTCGCTTTTTTTTAATTACTTATTTATTCGTTTTGTTTATATTCTTTCACTTTTTCTTTTTTAACTTCTTGTATTTTTTTTAATTATTTATTTCGCAATTTTTCACTTTTATTATCTTGTATTTAATATATATATACGGATGTGTACTTCCGAATAAGGGGGACCTCCAATTTCAATAAAAATTGGTATACCAACGTATTTTGATACGCTGATTACGAAAATGATAATGAAATTTGGCGCAAATTTCATCTTTATGGTGAAAACCATAAAAAAAACCATAAAATTGTGGTTTTTTGCGTATAATTCGTAAAAAACAAAAAATTTTGAAAAACTTTTTAAACAAAAGTTATAGATCTCACCAAAATACACATTTTATGCTCTTATCATTATTTGCTAAAATCCATTATTTTCCGAGAAAAATGTAAAAAACCATAAAATACCATAAAAACGGGTTAAAATATACTTTGGTCAAAAGAACAGCTAATTTTAACAAAATACAGTTTCTTTCCGTATTTTAATACTCTGATCACGAAAATCATACTGAAAATTGGTGCAAATTCAATGATTATGGTAAAAACCATAAAATAACCATAGAATTGTGGTTTTTTGCGTACAATTCGTAAAAAACGAAAAATTTTGAAAAACTTTTTAAGCAAAAGTTATAGATCTCATCAAAATACAAATTTTATGTTCTCATCATTATTTGCTGAAATCTAATATTTTTCGAGAAAAATGTAAGAAAACCATAAAATACCATAAAAACGGGAAATTCAAGACTTCGCCCGCCACAGCTCATGAAATCCCGCTTTGTGCATATAGAAAGGGAGTCAAATTTACTTCCTAGTTGGTACTAGAAGGTACACAACCCAGACCCGAAACCCCTACAACGTGTCCCCCCAAAAAACCTTTTTTCAGGGCCTAAGGGGGAACAGCTGAGAGGCGGGCGAAGCCCGCCTCAGGTCGTGTGCCCTTGCTCTGTGCATACAGAAAGGGAGTCAAATTTACTTTCTAGTTGGTACTAGAAGGTACACAACCCAGACCCGAGCCCCCTACAACGTGTCCCCCCAAAAAACCTTTTTTCAGGGCCCAAGAGGGGAACAGTTGAGAGGCGGGCGAAGCCCGCCTCAGGTCGTGTGCCTTTGCTCTGTGCATACAGAAAGAAATTTACTTCCTAGTTGGTACTAGAAGGTACACAACCCAGACCCGAGCCCCCTACAACGTGTCCCCCCAAAAAACCTTTTTTCAGGGCCTAAGGGGGAACAGCTGAGAGGCGGGCGAAGCCCGCCTCAGGTCGTGTGCCCTTGCTCTGTGCATACAGAAAGGGAGTCAAATTTACTTCCTAGTTGGTACTAGAAGGTACACAACCCAGACCCGAGCCCCCTACAACGTGTCCCCCCCAAAAAACCTTTTTTCAGGGCCCAAGAGGGGAACAGCTGAGAGGCGGGCGAAGCCCGCCTCAGGTCGTGTGCCCTTGCTCTGTGCATACAGAAAGGGAGTCAAATTTACTTTCTAGTTGGTACTAGAAGGTACACAACCCAGACCCGAGCCCCCTACAACGTGTCCCCCCAAAAAACCTTTTTTCAGGGCCCAAGAGGGGAACAGTTGAGAGGCGGGCGAAGCCCGCCTCAGGTCGTGTGCCCTTGCTCTGTGCATACAGAAAGGGAGTCAAATTTACTTCCTAGTTGGTACTAGAAGGTATACAACCCAGACCCGAGCCCCCTACAACGTGTCCCCCCAAAAAACCTTTTTTCAGGGCCTAAGGGGGAACAGCTGAGAGGCGGGCGAAGCCCGCCTCAGGTCGTGTGCCCTTGCTCTGTGCATACAGAAAGGGAGTCAAATTTATTTCCTAGTTGGTACTAGAAGGTACACAACCCAGACCCGAGCCCCCTACAACGTGTCCCCCCCAAAAAACCTTTTTTCAGGGCCCAAGAGGGGAACAGCTGAGAGGCGGGCGAAGCCCGCCTCAGGTCGTGTGCCCTTGCTCTGTGCATACAGAAAGGGAGTCAAATTTACTTTCTAGTTGGTACTAGAAGGTACACAACCCAGACCCGAGCCCCCTACAACGTGTCCCTCCAAAAAACCTTTTTTCAGGGCCCAAGAGGGGAACAGTTGAGAGGCGGGCGAAGCCCGCCTCAGGTCGTGTGCCCTTGCTCTGTGCATACAGAAAGGGAGTCAAATTTACTTCCTAGTTGGTACTAGAAGGTACACAACCCAGACCCGAGCCCCCTACAACGTGTCCCCCCCAAAAAACCTTTTTTCAGGGCCCAAGAGGGGAACAGCTGAGAGGCGGGCGAAGCCCGCCTCAGGTCGCGTGCCCTTGCTCTGTGCATACAGAAAGGGAGTCAAATTTACTTTCTAGTTGGTACTAGAAGGTACACAACCCAGACCCGAGCCCCCTACAACGTGTCCCCCCAAAAAACCTTTTTTCAGGGCCCAAGAGGGGAACAGTTGAGAGGCGGGCGAAGCCCGCCTCAGGTCGTGTGCCCTTGCTCTGTGCATACAGAAAGGGAGTCAAATTTACTTTCTAGTTGGTACTAGAAGGTACACAACCCAGACATTTGGTATTTCACTTTTTCACGTTCTGCATTTCGTCTTTCAGATTCCGTATTCTACTATTCCTATTCCGTATTCCACTTTTCATATTCCGCAAACCACTTTTCAAATTCCGCATTCCACTGTTCAAATTCTGCATTTCATTATTTCGATTCCGCATTGAGCTCGTGTACTCTCTTTATCTCTCTGTGTGAATATAGAAAGGGGACTCGGACGAGGTGTACTATCCAGCCGCAGGAACCGCGTATATTTTATTACTCCCTCACAGTATCCATTGGGCACATTGACACGATCGTGTTTAAAATATCATGGACCGGAAATATAATATTTTCGCTTTAAGTGTCATTTTACAAAATAGAGAATCGACTCTGCAATGGTTGCGTGATGTAGAACTGATCCCGAGTGAACGCTTTTGTTCGAAGCATAAGAAAAATATGACTTTAACTGAATCAGCGTTCACTTGTGGTCAGTTCGTTTGCGAGAAAAAAGGTAAATATCGTCATCGTCATACTGTCGCAGAGAACACGTGGTTCGAACAATGCCACATCTCTGCGGCTTCTTGTATGATGGTGACGTATTGCTTTTCGGTGAGTTTTGACTTTCAGCAAACTATTCGTGAGAGTAGTATTGTTGAAGGTCAAAATATTTCTTCTGAAACCATTGCAGATCGATTCTCTTTTTGTCGGGAGGTCTGCATGATTGCTTTAGATGAACACTTCCTAGAAGAGGGTCAAATTGGAGGTGTGGGCGAAATCGTCGAGATCGACGAATGCAAAATCGGTCGTCGAAAGTTTGAGAGAGGTCGAGTAGTAGAGGGTTCATGGATCCTCGGAATGATTCACAGAGGACATTCTTCCAACTATCGACTGGAAATCTGTCCCGACAACAAACGAGACAAAACTACTTTAATCAACTTGATTAAAAAGCACGTTGTTGTCGGAACAGAAATCCATACTGATTGTTGGAAGGGCTACATTGATTTGGAACAATGTGGCTACGTTCACAAAACTGTGAATCATTCCGAGGAATTTCTAAACTCTACTACTGGTGCCCACACCCAAAATATTGAATCCTCTTGGAGATGGATGAGACAATCTCTCTCCAGAGGAGGTGTTCGCAAGCATAATCTTGCAGACCACCTTTGTGAGTTTTTGTGGCGGAGAAGGGTTCGCAAATTAAATGCCGATCCTTTTTCGCAATTAATTGCGGACATAAAAATTGCTTACCCTGGCCACAAAAACTAAGAAAATGGCACTTAAATCAATCGGCCTTTTTCAAGGCCACGAAACCGTTGCGATTTGTAACATTCCATCAATCGGCCTTTTTCAAGGCCACGAAACCGTTGCGATTTGTAACATTCCATCAATCGGCCTTTTTCAAGGCCACAAAACCGTTGCGATTTGTAACATTTCATCAATCGGCCTTTTTCAAGGCCACAAAACCGTTGCACTTTGTAACATTTTATCAATCGGCCTTTTTTTGTTAAAATTATTTTTCAAAATTTTGCGTTTTTTACGATTTATTCACAAAAACCACAATTTTATGGTTTTCATAATGGTTTTTACCATAATCATTAAATTTGCACCAATTTTCATTATTATTTTTGTGATCAGCGCATCTAAATACGTAAAGAAACTGTATTTTGTTAAAATTAGCTGTTCTTTTGAGCAAAAGTATATTTTAACCCGTTTTTATGGTATTTTATGGTTTTTTACATTTTTCTCGGAAAATAATGGATTTTAGCAAATAATAATAAGAACATAAAATGTGTATTTTGGTGAGATCTATAACTTTTGTTTAAAAAGTTGTTCAAAATTTTTCGTTTTTTACGAATTATACGCAAAAAACCACATTTTTATGGTTTTTTTATGGTTTTCACCATAAAGATGAAATTTGCGCCAAATTTCATTATCATTTTTGTGATCAGCGCATCTAAATACGTAAAGAAACTGTATTTTGTTAAAATTAGCTGTTCTTTTGAGCAAAAGTATATTTTAACCCGTTTTTATGGTATTTTATGGTTTTTTACATTTTTCTCGGAAAATAATGGATTTAAGCAAATAATGATAAGAACATAAAATGTGTATTTTGGTGAAATCTATAACTTTTGTTTAAAAAGTTTTTCAAAATTTTTCGTTTTTTACGAATTATACGCAAAAAACCACAATTTTATGGTTTTTTTATGGTTTTCACCATAAAGATGAAATTTGCGCCAAATTTCATTATCATTTTCGTAATCAGCGCATCAAAATACGTTGGTATACCAATTTTCATTGAAATCGGAGGTCCCCCTTATTCGGAAGTATATCCTTTTCACCCATATATACTTTTAGTTTAACCTTTTCTTTATTTTCTATTTATATTTCCTTTTTTTCAAACAAATTCACTTATATTTCACAAACTTTTATTGACTCTTTAGATTTTCGCTTTTTTTTAAAACACGACTCACTGTTGCCAAGTCAATTTCTGCAACCTTGCAGATTTAGGCAGTGGTATGATCCGAGTTCAATGACTTGGATGCACCACTCCTTATATTAAAGAATTGGTTTCGACAACTCCCTATGATTTCTCAAGAAAGTCAACAAACTGTTTGCCAATAAAAGGGAATTCGCTGAGAAACAGTGTAATATATATTTAAGGTTCTTCACCCCAAAATTGTGAAATTCAGAGGAATAATAAATTGAATAGAATTGTTTATAATTTTAGAGTTAAATCATTATTTAATAAAATAGCTTAAAATCGCATTGGATTAGAATGTCAAAGAAAAGAATGTCCTTTCGTGAATTCACAAAGGGTTGTTCTTTTAATAAGTATTTTTGTAATGTTTTCTACAAAATCTCGTGTTATGTGAAGTGTTGTTTGTGATTATGATTTTTGAAGTATTTTAAATAATTATTTTTAATATAAAAGGTTACGGAGTTCGGCCGTAACAAATGCCCCCCTTTTATTAGGCTGACGTCCCTTGTCAGCTGCTATGAATGCGTGTAGTGGTCCGGTGTAGTATCCTTGGAGTGTAGTGTTGTTGGATAACTCTCTCGAGTTTTACAAAATTTTAGTCCTCTTGGTTTACATAAATTGTTTGCTGTAAGGTAAGTGTATTTATTAAGGTAAAAAAAAATTCGCTTTTATAAAAAAAGGGAAAAAAAAAATATTTGCGATGTACGAGCTGTTATTCATGAGTGAAATTGCTGAATTTGCAAATTCAGTTTTCTGTGTCAGTGTAACGTCAAGGTAAGTTAAAGGTCTTAGTATAACATGATATGGTAGTTTATTTTAATTCTCATTATGTAAAGAGAATAGAGAGAGAGAAAGAAGAATGAATAACAGCTGTTTTATTGTATCTATGTTGTTTTCTTATTTAAAAAAAAAATATAAAAAAAAAATTATTTTTTTTTGTAAGGTAAGTGACAACATTGTTGTTACTGCCCCCCTTTTATATGAACTGTCGTCCCTTGGCAGTTTATAGTTATCTTTTTTTTTATATTCATATGAACATTTGAATTGTGTTATAAAAAATTTCTAGGGTAGTTTTGTTATTTTAGTTATTTTAGAATTTGCTGTTGTAAAAATAAAAGAAAATTGGGGTTTTAATAAAATATGATTTTTTTTATTTAGAAAATTTGACAATTATTTTTGTAAAAGTTTTTGTATTTTATTTTCAAATTTTTTATTTTATAAGTATGTATATATATTTTAAGATTTGATGGGTATATATTTTTTGTTTTATGTGTAGAGGAAAGAAAATTTGCTTATGTTCTATGTAAGATGATAACTTTTTCCTGTCTTTAGTTTAACATCTTTAACTTCTCTTTTTAATAATTTGATAGTGCTGATTTGTACTTTTGGCTGGTCGTTGTGATGTCTTTCTCGTATTTTGTCAGTTTCTGTAAGTCTTTCGTTTGGTGTAGTCGTTTTCTTTTTGAGTCAGTTTTTGTGATTTGTTGTAGTTTGGTGTAAAAGAAGAAAAGGAGAAAAAAAATAATACAATGGCATCTTTTGATTTATCCTTGATGAAGGAAGTTTTGAGTTTCGTGGAGCGTGGGGTTACGACCACGGAGAGTTTTTTGCTGTTGAAGTTGGCCGAAATTGAGGACGCTTAAAGTGCCTCTTTTGCGAGAGGGGAGAGGGGGTGAGTTTTAAAGAGATTTTATTTTGTGGATGTTGTTAATGTGAGATCGTGTGTTTTTGTTTTGTTTTGTATTAACGTGTGAAAAAAAAAAATTTTAGAGTACGTGTGATTGTGTCTCCGTGGCAGGATGCAGAGCTGAGGGAGGGTACTGGGCTTTGGCCTCTTATGACCTCCTGATGCTACCCTGAGAATGCTCCTCACGATAATTTTGTATGGCACCAGGAGTATAGGTGGTCCTGGGAGTTAAGAAAATATGAGTCTCGTTATTATTGGGCTCCAGATATGTTCAAGAGTCCCACCTCCACTCCTGTGCCGGAAGGAGAATTAATGGAGGAGGTGATAGGCATTTTGGGCGTCAACACTTGTTTTAGGTGAGTGATTTTATTTTGTGGTGCTCCTTTTTTTTTTATTTGTGTTATTTTCTTATATATTTTTTTTTGTTTTATTTTATATATTTTTTTTAAATAAATTTATTAATCAATAATATTTTATTCTTATTTAATTTATTATTAATTATTAACTATTATGTTTGTTAATAATTAGATTCTTATTTTAAATTTTTGTTTATTTCCCATTTTTCCCAAAACCAAAAAAAACTATTTCTACTGGTGTTGGACATCACTTTCGAGGGGGAACTTGGAGACTCGTCAAGTTGACCATTGTCAGATGGAGCTTTTCTTTAAGCCCTTTTCTTGGAGTTGTGGATATTTTATTTGTTTCTACTAAGAAAAACTTTCTTAGGAGTGGATACAACATGTTGCAGTGAGAGAATGTTTCTCACCAACATTTTCACATTCTAAAATAATTTAAGAGAAAAAAATTAAGTCTACGGATCATTATTACATCTTATATATGTATGTGTATGTATTTCATGCATACTTATATTTATATATATGTTAGTAATGGCTTATTAATTTGGGGGATATTTATATGGTAGTAGTTGTTAGGTTAATTAGTTGTCAGTTGTTATTATTTATTTTTTATTTTTGGATTAATTTGAAGTTAGTGTTGTTCTCTCTTTTTTTAGCTTGTTAGTTATTATAATATTTATATATATATATATATATATTTTTTTTACAAGTTATAGTATATACATTTTTTTTTTTAATTCGGTTTAGTATTTTGTTTAGGCTATGTCTACGTATTTAATTTTGGGTGTTTCTGTATATTGTAATTTGGAGATTGGGTTTTCTCGTATCGTTTTTTCTTTTCGTACTGTGCTGCTGGTTGTGGGTTTGTTTTCTTCTTGTCGTTCGTTTCGTTGTAGGATTTCTTGTTCGATGGTTGAAGGGGATAGGCATGTTTTTTGGTTTGTTATAAAATTGGTAGTATTTTGGTTGTTGGGTCTTTGTTGTAAAGGGCTGGACGGTATGGCGTACATTTGTTGCGTCTCTGACTCGTTGCTTCTTCTTTTACTTCTTATGCAGCATAGAGGTTTTATATGGCTTTTTATGCAATGTTTTATAGTCAAATAAATTATGATTATTATTATTACTGTTGACAAGGTTCCTATTATAGAGTTGGTGTATTGATATTGCTCTTTTTTTCCAAGTGTATGTATACTTTGAATTTCTAGTCCTTTCTCTATTTCTTGTAATTTCTCGTCAGTTTCCATTTTTCTCCAAATTGGTCGCACTTCGTTTGATGTTGTTGTCTCTTTTTTCGGATCCAATGTTTTTAGGATTGGTGAAATTTCTTCTAGTTTTAATTCTATTTTTGGTGCATAAATATATTCTTGAGGATTGTTTATTATTTGCAGTATAGGTAATTTTATCGTGTCCGTCTTTAAGGTGCATTTCGGTGATAATTTAATAATTCCTATTCCATTCAGTTGAAAAGTATTGACTTTCGTGTTGGGGCAGATTGAATATGCAGTTTCTTCTTTAATTAGTGAATATAACCAGTTTCCTGTTGTTATTAAAGGTTCCCACAGTGGTTGTTGATTGTTTGTAATTCGGATGTCACAACTTCTTAAGGTGTTATTATTAGGTTCCCTTAGTAATTCTGATTCACAACTTGGTGCTAAAATGATGTCATAAATTCCTTGTGTTGGGTAACAAACATATCTTCCTTCTACTAATTGGCACGTCCTCAGTTGTTCTTCTTCTAAATAAAAGTAATGTCTTCCCTCTATACTGGTGGCTATGTAATTGGAGTGAGGTGTAATATACGCTCTGTTCCCGTTTGTTCCTATAGATTGTAGTACTGGCAACTCATGCATCTTATATAGTAAATATTTTTCTTTCTCCAAGAGAGGGATATCTAGTGTTATGAATAAATTTTCTTCTTTTGCTTGTATTTCTATTTTTGATATCTCTGTAATTGTTGCTACATTCAAGTTGTCTATATGCATGGGATATTCCTGGTTTTCTAAAAATTTATGTGCTTCGGTTGCTATTGTTTTTATCTGTTCGTTGTTGAATAATTTTGGATGTAATTTTCCTTCTATATCTTTGAATATGACGTTTAAAGTTTCTTCTAAACCGTGCTTATAAGTTTCTATTTGTTCATTCCATTGTTTTGCTGTTTTTTGTAACTGTAGCATGAAATCTGTGGTGGTTAATTTAGATTCTACATCAAGCATTTCTTCTTCGAGTTTATAGAGCCTTTTTCTCTCTTCTTCTGATCTGTTATGTTGTTGATGTGCTAAATCATATAAATTTTGTAAATCTGCTCGTACTAAATGAGTTTGTTCTCCTACTAGATGTGATATGTTCTTCTGTGCCTCGTTTAATTCTGTGAAGAGTTGTTCGTATCTTTCCCCATCATCATAAGTTAATATCCCCATGGTCGGACCTGCAATTTTTCCTATGAATCCTACTAATGGAGTGTTTCGTTTCTTTCTACTTTGAAAACTAAGTGCCTGTTTTGTTGTTGGTTGCTGTTTTAATTCTTTTATGAGATTTAATAATTGCTCTCGGAGTAACTTGGCTACTGTAATTTCTTTATTTAACATCTGATATTCTAAAAATTCTTCACAACTCATTTTCATTATTTTTTGACATTCTGTTTCTATCTTTTTATATTCTATTTCCAAATTAGGTAAATGTTTTTTAAATGTGTCTGTGTCCAATAGGATTATGGTTCTCCATGTTCCTGATATTCGTTGTAGATTCGGCATAAGTTCATAAAATAGTCCCGTATTTTTATTTAAGCTTGTTATTGAATTAAAAGGGTTTATTTCATTTGTTCCTATAACTTCCATCATTCCTAGTATTACGATGCATATTCTAAAATAGTTCTCCATTTCTGTAACCAAAATTTAATTATGTGTTTAGCTATTTTTTATTTTTTTTTTTTAGTTTCTATCGCTAATTTAGCTAATCTATCTGCTTCTTCGTTTCCTATTATTCCACTATGTCCTGGCTCGTATATTAATTCTACTTTTAGGTTATTTATACTATTTCTCATTTTTACGAAGTCCTTTTTACTTATGACTTCTTGTTTTCGGCATGTTTTCCAACCGTTGTTTTCCCATTTCGGTAACTACTCTTTTATCCCATATATTACAAACTTAGAGTCGGTGTGTATCCTAATTTTCTTATATTTTAAGTTTTTTAAAATGTCTATAGCTTTTATTATGGCCTCTAATTCGGCACTATTATTAGTTTGTCTATTACATGCTTTGTCACTGACATTTAGGGGATGTTCTTGGTTAAACCAGATTCCTATTCCAGCTTGTGAATTGGGTTTACCATTTGCCTTACAAGCTCCATCAGTGTACACATGTACATAGCCGTCTTTATCTATTCTTAATCCTCTTTTATCATTCTGTCAGGAGTATGCCTTCTTGACCTGATCCTTGTGCTTTCGGAATCTCTTCTTTTCTGCGTCGCTTAGTATCAAATTATTCTTTTCTGTAATCCCTACTACTTCATATGGTCCGTGGTAATATGGGGAGAATTTACCAGCTCTTACTTCTTCTTTTACGTCTACTAAGTCTCCTATTTTTACGACCAAGGGTTTTGTTTTGCTATTTAATTTTTCTCTGATCCTTTCTTTTGACTGAATCAGATTTTTAGCTACCATTCTTCGGATTTCAATTAGTCGTATTACTAATTCTTTCAAATAGGATTCGTATGTTTCCATTTCTTTCTCTGTTGGAAAAATGGAAGGGGTGCGAGCAGTTTTCCCAAAAACTACTTCGTGAGGGGTGAACTTTGTAGCTTCGTGGACGGAAGTGTTATAGGCAAACATGGCGTAGGGCAATAATCGATCCCAGTCGTCGAAGGCTTCTGCATAGTGTCTGATGAATTCTGCTAGTACGGCGTGACTGCGTTCCAGTGCGCCGTTAGTTTGTGGCCTATATGCTGTAGTAGTGACTTGGGCTACTTTAAATAATTTTGCTAGTCTTCTTAACAAGTTGCTAGTGAACGACCTTCCTTGATCTGTTAAGATACATTTTAAATTTATTTATTTTTTTTTTTAATTATTAATTATTTTCTATCTTTTTCTATCTTCTCTTTCCTTCAAAGAATAAAGGGGAAAAATCCCACCGCTGCCACCAGTTTGTTAGAGCCGAATTTGAAAAATTGAATTAATTAATTTAATAATATCAATTTTAAAAAAAACTTTAACTTAACGTGTCCTTCGGACAAATAATTTGTAAAGGGTAGTGGATTCTTCCTTCTTCTCGGTTATTAGTTCAACCAAGGGGTGAGAATCCTATCCCTTGAATTTGGAGTAGATAGGTTAATTTGAAATTAAAAAAACAGAATTAAGTTTAAGAACAATGATAAGATATATTTTACTCAAAAATCTCTATTACAGATATGCTAACTGTTGAGTGAGTCGTAGGAGTAGATGTGTGTATGTGTGTGAATGAGTTCAAGAGAATGTGTTACTAAATGAGATACGTTCTACTCACTACTTGGAATCTCCACCTTGAAATGTTAATCCAAATTGATGAATGTCTCTTCTCTCTGTTTTTCCTGGTATAAACTTCCGAAAATTGATAAAATATTAAATCTAGGGTCACTAGATTGATATTTCTTAGTTCACCTTTTTATTCCTTTGGAAAGAGCACAAAATTTAAAGACCGAACCTCGTAAGGAAAGGTTGTCTCAATGAATATATATATATATATATGTATATTAGAATTAATAAGACTTTATTATTTATCAGATTTAAATTGAATTTAACTTCTTGCTGACTCTATGAATTTTGTCTTACTTAAATTTCTTTTATTCTCTTTTTTTTAATTACTTATTTATTCATTTTATTTATTTTCTTTCACTTTTTCTTTCTTAACTTCTTGTATTTTTTTTAATTATTTATTTCGCAATTTTTCACTTTTATTATCTTGTATTTAATATATATATACTTTTAGTTTAACCTTTTCTTTATTTTCTATTTATATTTCCTTTTTTTCAAAC